ATGTAACAATGAAGACACGAATACAAATGTTAAAGATAAAAATATTTTGTTTGTTATAATCAAAACATAAGATCGACCATAGGTCAACAAGGAGAAATTCTTTTGGAATTTTATTCTAAGTCTATTTGTCAAATTATAATTGACGTTCTATTTAGAAGCCATATTGGGAGTTGAAATTTGTGTTGGACTTGAAAAGATTATGATAAAGAAACTTTTGGACATTTTATTTCATCTACAATTCTACTTTTGGGGCTTATATTGTTCTCTATATATATTTGACTTTTCTCTACAATTTAGTTGGGTTGGTTTTACCCATTATGAGTTGTTTACCTCATTATAGGTTGGTTTAACCTTATTGGAGGTTTGTTTATCTCCATTATTTGTTAGACAAATTGTAAACACAAATCATTATAATTTTTTCTCCATATTTAGTGAAATTTCATTTATTCTACAAATTATATTTTTCTTACGAGTTTGTGATCTTTACTTCATATTGTACCTATAATCTCTTATCGTTTTCCACAAATTGGCATCAGAGTTATCTAGTATCACTTCAGCATTTCACGACAAACTGGTATCAAAGCTTTTAGTTCTAAAATTCTTAGGAAGATCAAGATTTTTCGTGATGGCAACAATGAAGTATGATATTTCGCTATTGGATCGCCATACGAGATTCTCTTTGTGGTAGGTAAGGATGCAAGCAGTACTCGCTCAAATGAATTTAGATGACGTGTTGTTGGGATTTGACAAGATACCCACAACTTGGATTTTGGAGAAGAAACAACGGAGGGATCGAAAGGCTCTGTCTCAAATATGTCTTCATCTTTCAAATAATATTCTTCGGGTCATTTTAAATGAGAAGTCAGCTACTGCATTATGGTTAAAATTGGAGCAATTATGTATGACGAAGAGTCTTACTATCAAATTGCATCTAAAGAGAAGTCAGAAACTGCATTATGGTTAAAATTGGAGCAATTATGTATGAAGAAGAGTCTTACTAGCAAATTGCATCTGAAACAACATCTATATTCTCATTGTATGTTAGAAAGTACATCTGCGAGGATTACCTAGCTACTTTTAATGAAATCGTCGCTGAATTGGAGACCTTGGAGGTCAAATATGAAGAAAAAGATTTGGGACTGATTTTATTGTGTTTATTGCCCACTTCATATATGTCTTTTAGAGATACGATTTTGTATAATCTTGATCCCACCATTGAAGAACTCTATGATGATTTTTATATAAAGAAGAAGATGAAGCATCTCATTGAAACCAAGACTCAGAGATGGGCTTGTTCTTGATGGTGGTTGTGCCAGGGGCAAATTAAGGTCTAATTTCAAAATGTATTGCAAGAATTCAGGGCACTTAATTAAGGATTCCTATAAATTGCAGAATAGAGAAAATTTGGCTACTGTTTTTTTAGAAGGGAAAGTAAGAAGATACTTCAGGTGAGGCCATTGTTGAAACTTTTCACAATAATGGAGAATCTCTTTATTTATTTCCGACTACTACTCCTAACCTGGCGATAATTGTATTCTTGATATAGCTTGCACTTATGTATCCTAATTAAGATTCGTTTTCAACATATGAAACAATTTCAAAAGGTGTTATGGTGATGGAAAATAATACACCTTGTTAGATAGCTAGTATTGTTTGGGTCGAAATACAGTTATTTTGTGGTACAGTTAGAACACTTGATGTAGTGAGACACGTTCCAAATTTAAAGGAAAATCTTATCTATTTGGGTACTCTTGTTTGAAAAGGGTACAAGTATATTGGTGAAAGTAGAATCCTGAAGATTCGTAAAATAGCCTTTTTTTTTGTTTTATGTATTGCATTGTTATACAGGATCTTTAAGAAATCAACTTATTTTAAGAACTCGGGTGGATTTGGAGTTAGATTCTATACGTTGGAGTCTAGTTTGGAGTCTTCTTTGAAGAATACATTTCTGTTTAATTTAGAAGTTATGGGTATTGCCACCATCATCAGTGGTGTCATTGTATTTAGTTGCTAGTAATAGACCTATTTTTTGCTATAATATTGCACATTAGTACAATTCTGTTGACTTAGTTGTTGGTTTGAATACGGTTAAGGGTGTTGATTTTAGCCAAGATCCTTCTTTTGATGCATTCAATTGTGATTCTGTTATAGTGCTTGTTTCAGCCGTGTTTGGTGATCATTAGATCCCTTTTGCCCCTAGTTGGGGTGGTAGAGTTGGAGAATATTTTTAGTTGGGCATTGTGATAGAGAATTTCGTTTGCGTTTTTGTTTAAATTTATTCGTTGTAGTGGAATTTGTTTCCAAGTGGAGAATCCTTGAAATTTTTTTATTGCAGTGAAATTTGTGTCAAGGTGGAGTTTGTTAGAATTCGAGTTACACCCGAACTCTTTGTTGAAAATAATTGGGAATTCTAATTAAAGTGCACGTTAAGAGAAATTCTATTTGGAATGCTTTTGGAATCTTATTCGAAATCGATTTGACAAATTCTAATTGAAGATCTATTTGAAAGCCCTATTAGGAGTTGAAATTTGTGTTGAACTTGAAGAGATCAAGATAATGAAACTTTTGGATATTCTATTTATCTACAATTCTACTTCGGCTTGGATTGTTCCCTATATATATTTGACTATTATCTACAATTTAATTGGGTTGATTTCACCCCATTATGAGTTGTTGACCTCATTATAGATTGATTTAACCTTAATAGAGGTTTGTTTATCCCCATTATTGGTTTGACAAATTGTAAACACAAATCATTGTAAATCTTTCTCCATATTTTAGTAAATCTTCTTTACTCTGCAAATTATATTCTTCTTGTGAGCTTGTGATCTTTACTTCATATTGTGCATATAATCTTGTATCGTTTTTGACAAATTGGTATTAGATTTATCCGGTATCACTTCCACGTTTCGTAACAATTATATTGGTTATGTTTAACGGTGGTAAGTTGTATTTCGTTTGTTGTTGTTCTCTTTCTTAATTGTGTAGGTTGGCCTGATAGTGTGGATTCACTGCGATGTTTGGAAGCGCACTGTGTAGCATTGCTAGCACAATGTAGATTGGTTGTGGGAAATTCTTTGTATGGCATGGGTCTTTAATATGTTTCTATACTCTGACTTATTGTATGTGTAGGTTGCTCATCCGTTTCGCAAGCGAAAACTATTCCGATTATTTTTTATGAATTCCTTAGCTTGATTCGTGAGGGTGTTTGTGCATCGAGTCGCCGTGACAAAAAGCATTTGATTTATGGTGTCTTAGATAATTTGTATGTGTGCTTTGAAATTTTAACAAGAGGGCAAATGATTTTGCCGTGTTGATGATGTTATTAACATATCTAGCATTTCTGCTACCCAACACCAATTTAAATGGGCTTACGTAGACTTGTTCAATGAATTGAAATTTATCTCAACTTCACTTGACAAGTTTAAATGCATCATTACTGCCACCTAAACTACTAGTAAGTACCACTAATACTAACCCCTTCGGGGGTGACAAAGTTGGTGGAGCAGGTGAATGCGAAAACCAAATGTCACGAATTCGAATCCCTTGCCAACACTTCCTCGGTCGAGCAAGCCTAGTGCGGTTTACCTCTCTTATGTGATTTGCAGGCTACTGCTCATGAAGCGGGTTTTACCTAGTGCACACTCACAATGGTCAGGCCTCTGCCCCTTCAAGGAGGTACAGGCTCCGTTGGCGGGTAGCAGTTACGAGTTCCTACGTCAACAAAAAAAAGTTCCACTAATACTAAATAGAATTATTCGTATGGGATTAAATTTGCAATTTTTAATCAACTTTGCTCCTGTTGACAGAAATTAAGCCCCCGTTTGGTGCACATTTTTGGAAAAAGATGCATTTTTATTGTTGATGTGATGGAAAATATGTAATTGAAAAAGAAGAAAAAGTTATTGATGTGATGAAAAATATTATTTTATTGAAAAATGTGTAGTTAAAAATGAGTAGAAGAATGAGAATGAAAGAAATAATGTGGTTCAAACAGAACTTAAAATATAGATTTTAACTTAAGTTAAAGTCAACAATTAATTTTAACAACATTTTATGGGTCCTACAACTTTTTAACTACACATTCACCAACTTTTATCAAAAGTTAAATATCTGATTTTAATCCCTACCAAATAGGGGCCTTATTGAAAGATGGATTACTTAGAATGTGTCTGGCTGAGCTTTTTGGCAAATTTTAATCATTTTTTCACCCGTTAATCATCTACTCAGCCCACAACATTTGACTTCTCATCTCACATGCGGGTCCCACGATTAGAAATAAACGGTAAAAAAATCAATCAAAAGAGCCAAAGAAAGCTGAGTTAGACACACCCTTAGATGCAAATTAACATTAATAATGTAAGGGGAAATTATGGCTTGGGTCTCTAATCTATACAGAATGGAGCAAGTAGGTCTCCAAATTTTATTTTGTAGCATATGGTTCCGTAGCTTTTGAGTTTTTCAATGCTCATGTCTAAATGAAGGGTAATTGGCGCAAAACGTCCCTACCTTTGAAGGTTTTTGTGAAAAAAGTCCATACCTTTCGTTTTTTTGGCGCAAAACGTCCATACCTTTCACATTCTTTGCGTTAAAGGTCCTTTTCACCAATTTTTAACATAAAATGGTCAATATACCCTCCTATATAAATAAAACAAAAAAGAAAAGAAAAGAAAAATAAAGAATAAATTGCAATCTGCTCCTAAATTTTTTTAAAAATGCAAATCAGACTAAAACTTATGAAAATATTAAAAATAACAAAAAGGGTGACTAAACAAGAAACACTACAGTAAGTCCTACCTAGGAGTTCCAAACAATCTATCTCAAATTATCAGCTCTGAAGAAAGAATCTTTAATTCTCCAATCGCCAGATGTGTATAACTTTGAATATCAGTACCAGTATTTCTTGCCCTTGTTGAGAACTTGAGTTCTTGACAGATGATCAAAATGGGGGTGGTTTTTTCAATATTTATTGTGTTTTTTCTTCTTCTTGTTCGCCTTGCTCATATAGATTCTGGAATACAATTATCAACAGAAAATCCATATGTATTTGCAATCGGGGACCCAGGAATGAAGAACCCAAATGCCAGATTTGGGTTAGAATCTTGGAATTTCTGCAATGAAGTAGGCGTCGAAGCACCTTGCAATTGAGTGATTACCAAGTGTTTTTTGAACCTGAATTTTATTTCCCCCAAGTTGATTTGTATGTTGAAACATAATGGAGCTATCAATTGAATTAAAATCAGGTTGTTCGCTTGCACGGACCGTTCTTGGCTTATGATTGGAAATTGGCTCATTCAAATGGTGATTTGGTGCAATTAAATCATTACCCATGGTCGTTCCAGCATGAATTGAAGATTTATTGGTAGAATTAGTCAATTGAATGGAGATTCATCAATTGATTGAGGGTCGTCGGAGACACACTGAGCGCGGATTGCCTCAGTTTGATTCGCCGAATAAAGACCAAATTGGTGGTTGCCCATTCTTGCATTGGATGCGCCAGAATGAGAGGGTACAAAATGGGTAGTCCACGATCGTGGGACCTACCAACGGCGTCGGAAAAAGGACTTGAAATCTGTATTTTTGCTGGGTTCGAAAAGGCAGATTGTAGGTGTTGATTTGTTGCATTTTTTGATGTTTGAAGATCATGAATAGGTGCATCCCTATGAGTAAAGTCGACCAACATGTTGGGCATGGCTTGGTTGTCGCCGGAATGGGTTGTGCTGGTAGTTTTTTGGTGCGTGAATGGCTGGTTTTCAGTTGAAAATCCGGCCAAACCTGCTGGACTTAGGGTCGATTGTTGGTGGGGATGTATGCAGGGTAACATGGCTTCAACGTCCGACAGCTTGGGTGGCTGGAGGCTGTCGAAATTTGGATGCATATGGGCTGGAAAAAAAAAGGCAAAAAATCGCCACTTTTTTGGACTGATTTGCATTTTTTAAAAAAGTTTAGGAGTAGATTGCAATTTATTTTTTATTTTTCTTTTCTTTTCTTTTTTGTTTTATTTATATATGAGAGCATATTGGTCATTTTATGTTAAAAATTGGTGAAAAGGACATTCAGCACAAAGAATGTGAAAGGTAGGGACGTTCTGCGTCAAAAAAGGAAAGGTATGGACGTTTTCCACAAAAACCTTCAAAGATATGAACGTTTTGCGTCAATTACCCCTAAATGAATATTGGAGACTGCCCACACGACTATTAAAAAGTCAAATTTCGTGTCAGAAATATATACAATAATTATACCTCTAATTGAATACAAACTACCAAGTGATAACATGTTCGACCAATAGCAGCCGGACTATAAATTCCGTATTGTAATGCAAGCTCAACCCTTGTTTAGCGGCCTTTTATTTAATAAAACTATATTTTGAATAGTAATTTTTGGAGATTAAAAAATGGGAAATTTTTTTGAATTTACGCGTAGAATATTTTATTGTGTGAATGAGTGGTTGAAAATGAGTATGTAGAAAAAATAATTTTGAAATAATGGGAGATAAACGTAGCTAACTGTGTATCGGATAGAGAAAGCAAAGTTGCTGTTTTGGATGCGGATGATTGTTTGTTCCTTAGAATTTTTTCAAGGTCTTTATGATTGAAAGAGCTAATAAAATATGTAGAGGTTTTAAACCATTGACGTTACAATGTTAATTAATATAAAGTCAATCAGAAATCATGTTGTGCATTGAGGAAGATCTAACATTTAAAATTTCTGGGTTCAGAAACATAATCCCATACCTACAATACATGTTTGTTACACAACATTAGAGAAAATTATATTATGTTAAATAAGATTTAATTTCTTTTTTAATAGTACAGTATATAGTTTACTTAATAAACGAGCCAATAGTGCTTCATTTATAGTTCACAAATCCATTGTACACTCAAATAATGTAACTCTCTAGTTTCAACAAGCTCCCTTCCCTCATTGCATGATGAAAATTAAAGTACGAATACTTCAAGCTAGCTCAAAATACTCGCGAGCATTTTGGGATGAATCTCGATTTTGGCTTGTGTTTCTCACTCTCCACACTTTAAGGACTCCGTCAAGACTTCCAGTGCAAACCGTACAACCCTCCTCATTACTCTCCTCATAACCTTGTCCAGGGAATGCCGCAACACACCTAATAGGTCCTCTGTGCCCTTGGAGCATAGCAATACAAGTGTGTCGACCATCTTGTTCTTTTATCCAAATTCGACTAGTTGAATCAGCAGATCCACTCACCACGTAATTTGCCACACTGGCTAAGGACATCACTGCGTGAGTGTGCCCCGGGAGGGCACCACCATATTCCAATTGGCCTGAGAACCAACCCTTTAGCCAATAATGCACGTAACCATCCGTGCAACCACCGTACAACACCCCACCATCAAGGTTTAAGGCCAATGTTTTGACCGGGGAGTATTTGGCCGGTAGGGTCACCGTGAGCGAATGAGGGCGAGACCCACTACAAAAGTTGCGTCGCCACACTTTCACAGTGGCATCGTCTGATGCGGTATATAATACCCCATCATCAGCCACCACGATTGCATTCACAGGCTCGTGATGAGCTTGGATTGTCTCTATGCATTTGAAATCAGAAATTCGCCAAACTTTTACGGTCTTGTCAAGGGAAGCCGAGTACAAAATGTCATCTGATGTGTTGATTGCTAGCGATGATATTGGTCCCATGTGCCTCGTCTGTTAAGTCAAAACATTCAAGTACGTGAGCAAATCAATTCGTACATTTATATACTTTAACAAATAAAAATTGTGTACATGCCACAAATTGAATTAATCAATGCTTGTTGTTAACAAAGGCACACAGCATTAAATTTCAATTGGAAGAAAGTTGGTACGCATTATTTGCGAAATTATATATATTAATTTATAATTGCATATTATTGAGCAGACTCTAGCTAGTATTTTAATGAGGTTGGTAAGTTGCATGAATACAGTCTATATAGTTGCTGAATCGTGCTTTAAATTCAGTTTATTTGTGCAATTTTCTATGAATTTGAAAATAAATGACAATAGACAGAATCCATAAATAAAAGCTAGATGCGCTCAACTAACACTTTGCCTTGTTCATGCTGCTAATAAATATTTGGTGACAGCCCATAAATTTTGCCTCTTGAAATGATAATAAAAGAAGAAATTAGAGTACAAGTAGTACAAACTTCGAACTAACAAAGTAATTTTTCTAACTTTTTTCTGGAATCAAAATACCTAACCTAACTAATAACAAATTCCTTGTCGACAATAATGTATGATGTATGTTGTATATATGAATCCTAGATATGAAAATAGGCAAAACTCCTCTATGAAAAGGTATATATTAATGATAATAGGCTAGGCATATATCGATAACGAATAACGAGAGAGATAGATATAATGAATTTTAGGGCGTGTTCGATCGTGCTTAAAATTCAATTAAAATTGAAAATATAGCCGTTATTGGATCACACTCGTCTAATAAAAGTCAACAATAACAGCTAATTTTTCAATTTTAATCTCTACCGAACACACTCCCAATATAAATAGAGTTTAGTTCAACTTCAATAAAATATTTTAGATTATAGATAATTGATGGGATTTTCTATCACTATAGAAAAATGAAAAAAATTGTCAAGATTTTTTTTTTCATCCACTTGAAATTGTTTAAAACGAAATTGTTCCTTTGACAATTATAAAAATTCTTGTTAAAATAATTTTAAGTATATTTTGTAAACTCGACTGTACATGTATGATTAAAAAAGAGAGAGACGATGTTAAAAAAAAAGACACTAGACGAATACGTTAATTTATTTACTCGAATTTTTAAGTGTCAAACATGCTCCTAAATATACCCAGAAACCCTCTACAAGGTTAACTTTACTTAAGGCTCATAAAAACTTTACTATGCGTATTTTTAGATATGAAAAAACTCGATGACAAATGCCTTAACTAACACTATTAATGTTTATCAATTTTCAATACACAAGAAAAAATAATAATTAAGAGGTTGTCTTGTTCGAAACCTTAATCAGGACAATTCCTCCATCTTGTAACGCACCTTTATTATAAAATACTGAAGTACGGACAAGACTCAAATTAATTTTTAATATGACAATATAGTCGTTAATGATATTATTGATTTTCATATTTCACCTAGATAAAATATACCTTTAAACATTATCATTCACATTGTTACTATCTTTTGGCTATATAAGTCGAGACAATTGTAGAATAGTAGTTAATTAATTCATAAAACCCAAACTCATTAATGCCTAGTTGTGCTACCTTAAAATTAAAAGGGTGTTTGGTGGAGATTAAAATTAGATTTTTAGTAGATTTTGATAGAAATTTTTGAAAAATGTGATTTAAAAGTTGTGAAACCCATGAAAGTAGGGACGACAAAAAAACCTGATACCCGCAGAGCCCCGCCCCGAAGGGGGCAGGGATAACCTGCTTAATCGGCTAACAGGGCGTGAAATTTTGCCCCGGTGCGGGTTCGAGTAACAGAGGCCCCGCCTCGTTAAATTTTTTTTTTTAATTTTTATTTTTAGAATTCAATACTTTAAATGAAAATTTTCATTAATTCTAATAGAATATAGCAACTAAAATTATTTGTCCAAAACTAATGAATATGAGTAATAAAAATAAATTATATATAAAAAAAAATTTTAACGGGGAAAGGACCCACCCACCCACCCCCGCCCCGCCTCGCCTCGCCTCGCCTCACCCCACCCTGTCCTGCCTTAAACTGGTAACGGGCGGGGAATTTCTTAGCGGGGTCGGGGCCAGTTCCGTTGCCATCCCTACATGAAAGATGTGTTTAATATTGATTGTTTGACTTTGATTTGAATTAAACTCAGATTTTAATCCGGACCATGAGCTAAATTATAATTACTGTTTAATCTTAAGTTACTAATTACACATGATTCTTAAAATTACTTAAAACATACTTTTCTACGAAGTAATTTTTAAGCCAAAACGTATATGAACACTTAAAATTACCATCTTATCCTTGCCGGAGATGTAGCTCCGGACATAACTTCCGGTCTTGGGTATGGTGGCAAGTCTTATATGCTTAATGACTCCATCCCAAGTCCTCCTCCAAACCCTAATTTTGCAATCGGAATATGCTGCATAGATTCTATCATTTGACACTTCCAATGCAACCACCATGCATGCCTTTGTTTTGAGCTGCCCACATTCTGTGAACTCCGGCATCTTCCATATGCGAATGGTGTTGCCTTGTGCGCCGGTGTAAACGAGGCCGCCGGAGGCGGCGACGGAGAGGATCTGGCCGTCTTTTTTCAGGACTGAACATATGCATCTGTAGGTGGGGTATAGATCATCCAGTTTAATAGAGGGGGTAAAGGAATGGCGGGGCGTTGAAGGCTGAGAGTGGAAGTGACTGTGGATGGAGAGGGAGGTGGCGGTGCTGACGTGGGGCGGCGTACATGACTCCTCTGTGAGCGGTGGCTCTTTGGTTGAGACGCTGCGAAGGAAATTGTTGGAGTGAGGTCCTCTTAGTGCAAAAGACAAATTTGGAGGTGAATTGGGAGGGTCAAGGAACGACGCCGTTTCCATCTCTCTCTAATATCTATCTAGTCTCTGTATCTCTCTGTGTGTGTGTGTGAACAAGGTAGATGGTGAGGAGACGGGGGTTTAAATGAAATGAAATGATGGAAATGGTTGCCTAATGGCAAAGTTCCAATTCATATGTATACATACATAGAATATACAACGTAAATTCGTACAAACACGATATATCAACTCTATACACACACAGGGTAAATTGCATATTTAAGGGGTGTTTAATGCACGATAATGTGATGGAAAATATGAAATTAAAAATAAGGAAAAAATTTGAATTTGCGTGTAATCTTATTTTATTGAACAATGTATGATTGAAAATGAGTATTGAAAAAATGAATTTTGGGAAGTATGTGGATCAAACAGATGCTTAGTCCCAACCTTTGCTCAAATTGCGATTTGTCTCTCCAATAATTTATATGATCGATTTTGTTTCTAACATTTCATAAATTAACATAGTTAATCTCCTAGGACGGTTGCAGTCCAAGTTGCTTAACAATGTTATCCTCTAATAAAGAGCAAGTATGAATCACTGACTGGGTTGATAGCAAAAATCGACATAAATTGTCTTCATGTTGAGGATAATATCGTAACTTTGAGCAAAAGTTGGGGACTAAATATTCGATTTACAAATAAATATATGTAGAGAGAAAAATAATCTACTAAATACAATTTTAACTTATGCTAAGCAACGATGCATGACATATCAATTAATTGGTAAATTATTTAATTTTTGGAATATAACATGAATTTATTCACTAATTAATTAATGTATCATGTCACCTAATATTTAGTAGGCCATTTCACTATGAACAATGCCGCATCAGAGACAAAAAAATTCGCCACTAATGCCTTGAATTCCATTGGTAAGGAGTTTTACCATTGAAAATTCTCCGTCGATAAATTCGACGCTGAAAGTTGCACCACTAATTTACCGAGGAATAGAGAATCATCGATAATTAACGAAACATTAGCAACAAATTTTGTCATCAATAACTATCGATTAATTGACTCAACGACAATACTAACAACAATTTTGTCTGTTGCAAATTACCTACAAATTACATTATGTCACTAATCACATACAGACTTATGTTACTATTTTCGTTGCTAATTTGAATTAGGATTTAAAAAAAAAAATTACTAATTATTATATTATTCTTCTCTTGAGAACTAAATATATTCAAATTCAAATTCAAATTCAAATTCAAATTCAAATTCAAATTCAAAAAATATAAATAAAATGCCAAAGTTCAAATTCGAATGTGCAAACTAATTAACAAAGTAAATGAAATTGAAAAAAAAAATGCATTCAATTCCTTAATTTTAGGATTCAAAACAACATAAAATGAGATTACAGAGTAGTTAGTCCAACTATTGGATACACTTTGTCTTCTGTAAATGGAAGAAATATGTAACATGCACAAAAGGCCTTGTTTGAGTACCTTTTTTAGGACAAAATTGTAAGTTTAAAGTTTCAAGGTTCTATATGCAAATTATAAAGATTAAAGTTGTTGTTTGAAATTTGCAATCGTTCACAATTAGATTAATTTAATTTTGACCTATTTCGTGGATTTGGCAGGGTTTGACCTTAAATTTCGTGTGGGTGGACAACAGTGAGTCGGTGACCAACCTATCGAAGAAGTGTGGATTTCCCTAGTTTGATCTTGGTGGTGGAAGTGGCCAAGTGGGGGTGGGAAGAAGCATTCATTTTAAATTTTTTTTCCCCCCATTTTCTCCTTTTTTTTTTGGTTTTATATTTAATTGTTTTATAAGAAAATATATGAAGATATCATTTTACCATTAGGCCCTATTTGATATCCCAATTTTTCATAAAACTTGGAAATTATTTTCCATTTTTCATCTAAAACATTGTTTGATAGGAAGAATTTTCTTTGGAATTGGTTTTCCACCCTATCTCCCAAGTGACCTATTTTTTCTTGTTTTCCTTGAATTGGTTTTCCCACACTTTGGTGGGAAAATGATTTTCCAGCCATTTTTTTTAATAATGGAAACAAATTTTATTCCCAATTGTAACAAATTCTATCCCTTTAATTGACAATTTTCATGTAAAATAAAGCCAAACGAATATCAAAAGATCCAAAATTTCAATATTTTCCACTTGAAAATTATACTAATCAAGCACAATTATTTGACAATTCTCAAGAAAACAATTTTAGACAATTTAATTCCCTAAAATTCATTTTTTTTCCCACTCAAATTCCACTCTTGCAATCAAACGGACTCTAAGTAAAACAATAATTTCATAACTAAAAAAATTACTTATATGTAAAAAAATCTTTACAAGACAAAAATTCACTTTTTTATACAAAAAATTGCTTCTAAGTGAAATTACTCTAATAATTAAAAATTTCACCTACAAACGTAGTTGAAGGAGCTAGATCCCTTTTGCATCCAATGAACAAATTCTTCAGAAGGTTGATGTTTCGATGGCTGGTTTCAAAAAATAACAGACAATATCAACCAGAGGGCCCCAATCTGCATATTAGTTGAAAGGACTAGTCCTAGATAAGATTGTGATATGGAAAACGTTGACTGAAACAAGATTTCTGCAGAATTTAGCTTCCCAGCAGTGAAAGATTATTGCCTCCATTAATATTAGTCATACAACTCTAAATGGCATGCTTACCATTTCGCTTTGGCACAATGTAGACCCATGCATGTTATGTACTCAAGCATGCAATAGGATCAAGCTTCAGCTTCTTTTTGCTGAAGTCATTAATGTATCTTCTTATGCCCCACAATGTTAGTAAATCCAGAAGAATGTATGAAATTTGTACCAAGCAAGAAATATTAAGGAACATATTTGCTTATAAAATCTAATTAGCTGTTTAAATACAAAAGAAAATCGTTTGCAAAGAACTTGAAACATACCCAGTATCCTGCACTTTGAGGTATACGTGAAAATGGATGCGAAAATTCACATGTGGGCCTGTTCATCTTCTGAATACGTTATTCTATAGATTCAAGTTGAGAGAGAAGAAGAAATATCAATCCATAGTCCACGCCACTTGCATCTTTATTGATTAGCGATTAATTGCTGGTGACAAAATATAACCAAAGTAGTAAACATTTAAGTTTCCTATGATGTTAGGCATGAAAACACAACAAACCACACAATCATCAACTCTATTGTTTGTCGGGTGAGTGACTCAGAAAACCTTGGGTGTAAAAACTAACGAAGTTAAACAACATAATTAGCGCATGTAGAACAACCAACCTCAAATTGAATCAATTGTGTAAATAACAAACTCTTCAAACATTTAAATATGTAACATATCGGCTAACATGAGATTTCCAAATTTATTTAGAATTTGTTCAACAGACAAGAATTAAACTTGAAGCAGAAGAGAATTTCATATCTTCTGATGGCGGGACAACTCTTTCCGTAAACACAGTTGATGAAAAGAAAAGACAGAAGCATTATGTACAATTCCTGATCCCCTTTCCTGTAGTTTCTTTTAGCATAGAAGCGACAAACAACAATTTCTTCCTCATAACCCGCATCTTTTAACCTCACATAACAAGCCAGATATTCCATTTAATGAACTCGTCAAAAATATGAAATATTGATCTCCAAAATTGTGTGTGTGAGTGGAGATATAGTCATATAGAGAAGTAACTACTGCAGTTCTACCGACCCTTAGTGTTGAAGAAGTTCTCATCTCGATCTACACAAGATGGATTATATGCTTTGGGGCAACCTCTGGAAACCCAAAGACACTCAGTTATTGATCAGCATCACAAACACGTATAGCCAACAATACATATTCAGAATACTGGTTTTATCTCCTTTTAAGTTTAGAATTCTAAAGGTTCAACACATTGTTTTGAACTTACCGGCGATCACATAGCAGAAGGTCCCCACCATCAAAGCAGATGAAACAGACGTCCTCTCCCACCTTCTTCCTAGCGGGAGCTTTTGCTGTGGCTTGATAACTTGATGGACTTTTTGAATTCCTCCCCTTCTTGAGCTTCTCTCCAGACGTTTTCACCGGTTCAGCCACATCTGTTTCAGTCTCCATTTCAGTGTCCTCCGCAGTCATTGCTTCATCTTCAGATTTTATTCCAGCCCATGGATCATCCAACTCCTGACCAGGCTCATCTAAATCACTATTTGTTTCCTCTGTCTCCCTTTTTGAATCCTCGAGTGGGATTGTCTCAGTCCCATCATTCCTTTCCACAACCTCAGCTTCCATTGGTAAATCAACCACTTGGATCTCCTGGACCATGTCATCCCTCGTCATTTCTATTTCCATACATGCCTCTGTTTCCATTTTAGTATCTCCTACTGAAATCTCCTCTCCAGACACTGCTTCTACCTCCTCAATTTCTGCTGCATTTGCAAGCTCAGAAAACTCAGGGCCTTTTGAAACCTCAACGCTGATAACCTTCTCCTCGTCCATTATGGTTCTGACCATCAAACTCTCCACAGCAGCCGACCTTCTGCAACACTCTTATCTTTCATTTCAGTGCCAAAATCTCCATACCACCATCGGATTCGTGAACCTGCACTCACTGACTATAATTCACCACCTCAATTTCGGTCTTAGAATCACTATTTTCTTCAACAGTTCCAACCAGTTTCTCTGTACTCCCACCTTCTGAATCATTTATCTTATCTGTAACCTTCTCGCTGCCTACACCAGCTTCCACTACTGTCCCTGAATCATTTTCAAGAATTTGAGTTATCTCTGGCTCCAGATCAGCTCCTTCCTCTTTCTCAATGTGTTGTCCCTTGCCTCTCTCCTCTATCTCAGCTGTGGTTTAGGACCGTTTCCATTCCCTCTCTTTCCACTGGCGCTTCACCGATCACGTCCATATCCAACTCAGCATGAGGTCTCAAATCCCATGTACCAGAACTAACCTTGCTTCCATCACTTGCCACTACCGACACCAATTCCTCCTCACCCTTCGAATCAAGCAGTGACTCCCTTGATCATGAATGTGCAAACACATTTAATGACATCAGC